TGTGTGTGTGTGTGTGTGTGTGTGTGTGTGCGCGTGTGTGCGTGTGTGCGCGCGCACGTGTGTGTGCGTGTGTGCGTGTGCGTGTGTGTGTGTGTTTGTATACAGACACTTGTTGTTGATGCAACTTACCATTATAGTTCTGATATGTTGCACGCACTCCATATCGTAAGCTCACACACAAGCACTGGGGCACGCTGACACACACACACACACACACACACACACACACACACACACACACACACACACACACACACACACACACACTGGGGCAAACACGTCTACACGCACAATCACACACCAACCACACAGCTTGCAGGTGAATGCTGTCGCTGGAGGGCACGTGAAAAAATCACAACCTTCCCACGAAGGTGTGTGTGTGTGTACTGTTCCATCTGGAAAGTCCACTTCCATTCCACTGCATTTCCCTGATGTAGAAGACACTCCAGCCTCTCAGGAACTCGCAGGTATACACGTGTATATTCATACATAGTAACATATGTATACCATAAGCCGAAGGAGGGCTCAGATAGACCTGTTGGTATATTCGTTATCTCAGACTCTCTCATAATACGTCGCGTTCTGTACGCAATTGACGTGAAAATGAAATATATCGAGCGTCGAAATACTGGCATCGGCCTCGATAGGTGAGGTGGGTTGATTGGGTTCGTACGTTTTGACTGCCTTTCCCACTCTTTGTTTCCGCCACAATTTACTAAGGGTGCAAGATGGACTGTCACGCCACACGTGTGTGTGTGTGTGTGTGTGTGTGTGTGTGTGTGTGTGTGTGTGTGTGTGTGTGTGTGTGTGTGTGTGTGTGTGAGCTGGATTATTCGTTTTCACCCACTTGTAACTTCTTCTCCGCAACCTTAATGTATATTGTCTTCTCTGCAGGGCTTTTGTTGCTATATTTATACAGTCTGGGTGATTTGTTTTCTGGTTCCCCAGTGAGGAGTTTCGTGAGAGGGAGACTTAAAAATACAGAATGACGAGGAGAAACACAAATGAAGCTGTGTTTCTTAGCTTTTACCCACGTCACTTGGTACTTGCTTGTTAAACAAAAAATGTATACATTGTGTATTTGTATGTACATGTATACATTGAGCAACATTGGCCAAGAATGTATAGGTTATTATGAAGGGGTTTACTGAGAGGCGTCGAGACCACTAAACGTCTTGATTTTGCGAACACAATGTGAACGTTTCATGGAGTGAATCCAGTGGTGCAGGGAGCAACACAGGTGGAATCCAGTGGTGCAGGGAGCAACACAGGTGGAATCCAGGGGTGCAGGGATCAACACGGGTGGAATCCAGTGGTGCAGGGATCAACACGGGTGGAATCCAGGGGTGCAGGGATCAACACGGGTGGAATCCAGTGGTACAGGGAGCAACACAGGTGGAATCCAGTGGTGCAGGGAGCAGCACAGGTGGAATCCAGTGGTACAGGGAGCAACACGGGAGGAATCCAGTGGTGCAGGGATCAACACAGGTGGAATCCAGTGGTGCAGGGAGCAACACAGGTGGAATCCACTGGTACAAAGAGCAACATAGGAGTGTTTGCAGCCTGTTTTCTAACGTCCTGATTTCGTAATTCCATAGTCGTACACATGGAAGATTAAGAGGAAGATCAAGTTTAAAGTGGTTTTGCCTACCCATAAACGTATCAATGTAGACAACCCCATCTAACTTATAGTGCTCATTGGCACGGGGGAATGTCAATATTGCAAGGCTTCTCATTTCTCTATGGCACCGGAATTCTGACCCTCTGGCAAATTACGTCGAAAATGCGGTGCGTTAAGTGTGAGGACAGGGGTTGCATCTCTATTTTCGTAGAAAGCTTTCCACTTTCTTTCTCTTTCCACCTCCGCCCGTTCTTTCCATTTGCCACTCCGTTAAAAATGCAACTATTTTGGCTAGATGCATAGAAAACGTTGCTATTACGGTGTTTTAATTGTATTTTTTTTACTTAGTCGTCGATTTTTTTTACGGAGTGGTTTAAGCTTATCCGTAAGAAATGCGACGGATTGATGAGAAGAGGAGAGTTCACCTTCTTCACTTCTTAATTAAGATTGCTTACCTGTAGTAATCAATTATTCCTCCGTCTTGGAGGCTAACCTGGGCAGCTGCACCCCCCCTCCCCTCTCTCTCGACCCCTTGTTCGACTAAATTGTAAATTTACTCTCCCCTCTCCACGACTTCGAACTCCCCACTCCCCTCCCCCATTCAACCCCTTAGAACCCCCCCTTCCCTTCCCCCTTTCAACCCCTGCGAACTCCCCCCCTTGCCGTCCCCAGGAGTCAACAACCCCTCCTGCCTCGCCTGCCGGAGCAAGAGGCCCAGGTGGGTGAGAGTAATAGAGGAGGAGAAGATACCATCCCCAGTGCTCGGTGCCGCTCGGCCGAAGGGGTAATCAGGAGCCCTGAGTGCGCCTCGCCGGCCTGAGTGATGATGCTTTAGGAGTAATGATGCTGGGATAGGGGGGGGGGAGGGGATGGTGAATGCCATTACTCATCTCCCGTCTGCTAGAGCGAGATGGATGGTGATGCTGTAGACGATGACAGCATCAAGGAAGGCTGCAGGATTCAGCTACAAGTGTTGTAGCTGAAGCTGAATCTGCTGTAGCTGAATCTGAATCTGCTGTAGCTGAATCTGAATCTGCTGTAGCTGAATCTGAATCTGCTGTAGCTGAATCTGAATCTGCTGTAGCTGAATCTGAATCTGCTGTAGCTGAATCTGAATCTGCTGTAGCTGAATCTGAATCTGCTGTAGCTGAATATGAATCTGCTGTAGCTGAATCTGAATCTGCTGTAGCTGAAGCTGAATTTGCTGTAGCTGAATCTGAATCTGCTGTAGCTGAATCTGAATCTGCTGTAGCTGAATCTGAATCTGCTGTAGCTGAATCTGAATCTGCTGTAGCTGAATCTGAATCTGCTGTAGCTGACTCTGAATCTGCTGTAGCTGACTCTGAATCTGCTGTAGCTGAATCTGAATCTGCTGTAGCTGAATCTGAATCTGCTGTAGCTGAATCTGAATCTGCTGTAGCTGAATCTGAATCTGCTGTAGCTGAATCTGAATCTGTTGTAGCTGAATCTGAATCTGCTGAATCTGAATCTGCTGTAGCTGAATCTGAATCTGTTGTAGCTGAATCTGAATCTGCTGTAGCTGAATCTGAATCTGCTGTAGCTGAATCTGAATCTGAAGTAGCTGAATCTGAATCTGCTGTAGCTGAATCTGAATCTGCTGTAGCTGAATCTGAATCTGCTGTAGCTGAATCTGAATCTGCTGTAGCTGACTCTGAATCTGTTGTAGCTGAATCTGAATCTGCTGTAGCTGAATCTGAATCTGCTGTAGCTGAATCTGAATCTGTTGTAGCTGAATCTGAATCTGCTGAATCTGAATCTGCTGTAGCTGAATCTGAATCTGCTGTAGCTGAATCTGAATCTGCTGTAGCTGAATCTGAATCTGAAGTAGCTGAATCTGAATCTGCTGTAGCTGACTCTGAATCTGCTGTAGCTGACTGTCCGAGGATTGTTTACGACAATATTGACCCTTGTTTGGGAAGCTTCGAAGCTTTTTTTTTTAGGCTGTTTAGTGACTGTAAACAACGCGGCCGTGACTGTTTGGAAGATGTATAGGTTTCGGAAGCGGTGGTTTGATGACTCCTGTTCTGGTAGACACTGAAGAGGGGAGGATCTGATGTGTGGGGGGTAGGATAGGGGGGAGGGGGGTGCCCCTCTACCTTCTCTTCTGAAGACTCGGTCTGTATGTATATCTTTAACGATTTCTGTTATCTGTATATCCGGTTCTGTCAGGTCTGTTATCCGTTTCTTCCAATCCTGTCATCACCAGCATCTGCCCGTCCTGTTATCCGGCTCTGATCGTCCTGTTATCCGGCTCCTTCTCTTCTAACATACGCACTGCACGCAGCCCTCATGTCCACCCCTCTCCCCAATTGACAGTTGAGAGGCGGGACCAAAGAGCCGAAGCTCAACCGTCGCAAGCACACTGGAGTGCGTGCCACTAGGTGAGCACATGTCAAGGAGAGAAAAGGGAGACTGCCATTCCAGAGGTCAGCCATTATACCACCAAAATGTATCTGCGAACAGCACGAATAGTGAACACAGCGTCGCTGAGAGAGCAAATTGCACGCAAACACACGCACGCACGCAGGCACGCACGCACGGGTGGGTATAGGGATGAAGCAGGTGACAAGTGTAGTCCATCAGAGGCTTTTTGCAAAGCTAGGAAATATCCAAATAGTTACACGCAGAAATCACAATAGCGTGATGCATCAAATGAACAAATCCACAAGGGCCGTGATGAGGGTTCGAATAATCAGTCGATTAAGGCAGCGTCTGGGATCCTCTCGGACGTAGGTTCGAAACCTCGTCACAGCCCTTGTGGATTTGTTCATCCAAATAGTCTTCAGACATCTGTACAAGGAGGTATATTTACGACACCTTCGTGAGACCAATCCCACCTGCATTATGGGTGGAGATAAACAGGAGCTGCATCGTATGGGACAATAGACCTTCTGCAGTTATCTTCATTCTTATGTACTTAACCCACACATAACACCCCCAACCCACTCACACACTCCCTTCCCCCTCTCCTCAACACAACTCTTCCCCCCACTCCTCAACCCACTCACACAACCCCCCCCCCTCCCACTCACACAACCCCCCCCCCCTCCCCCCACTTCCCAACCAATACACACAATGCTAAAATGTTTGGTGTTGACGCTGTTGTATGTGTTTGGAATGCATTGTACTTTTCTTTCAACAAAGATTGAAATTATTTTGACTCCCTCCCCCCCCCCTCACTCTATCCACTCCTCTTTCGCTATCAATTTCGCTACCAATCTCCCTCCATCTTTATCTGCATACTATCTCTCTCCCTCCATACATACATAATTTTCTACCATTCCCACAATTCCTTCCTTCCATCATCCCTCCCTCCCTCCCTCCCTCCCTCCCTCCCTCCCTCCCTTCTCTCTCTTACCTTAGCAAGGAGGCGCTAGGATCTCCCAAACCAGTGTGAAGCCACTCTGCAGAAAAAAATAAATTCACGTTATTCATTAATCTCTCTATTGTATACTACGTAATACTACAACCACAAATGTTGTGTTTATTGATTTTTTATTTTAGTACGGACACCTGCATGCACGTAGTGTACGTACACTTGCATAGTAATGCAGAATTAAATGTGCACTTTGTTAAATACGTCCCTATTTCTGACAACACCGATTGGCTTGCGGCAGTGTTGAGTGTATTAGTGTGTCGGTGGTTGTCTCAGGGCTGGTAACAAGGAAGTTATAATTCTTATAATGCCTGGAGCCTCAGAGCCTTCTTGCTACCCCCTCTAGTGCCTAGTGTTCCTGCCACCCCTCTAGTGCCTAGCATTCCTGCCACCCTCTTAGTGCCTAGCATTCCTGCCACCCCTCTAGTGCCTAGCATTCCTGCCACCCTTCTAGTGCCTAGCATTCCTGCCACCCCTCTAGTGCCTAGCATTCCTGCCACCCTTCTAGTGCCTAGCATTTCTGCCACCCCTCTAGTGCCTAGCATTCCTGCCACCCTTCTAGTACCTAGCATTCCTGCCACCCTCTGGTTCCTAGCATTCCGAACCCTTTATTTCGAAACTAAATAACACTTATTTGGGTTCCGTTTCGCTGAATCTAGAGGCAGGAATCTTGCGAGACCCACTATATCCTTTTAAAAACCTGCTGGCAAATATGTACATAAAACCACACATTTACCACGATAGGTGGTGCTGGAGCACCATATAGCATGGATCCGCCTCCTGATACAACTGTGGTGTCAACGATGGTGTCCTAGATAGTCTCCCGTATCGTTGTTCTTATTTACAAGGGGAAAATATTCGGTGTTTTCGATGTGTTCCAGACTGCGGGTACTGGGTAGCCCTCTTCTCCCGTGGCCGCCACACTGCGTCCTGTCTTATTGCCTCGGCGTTGTCAGCCCGGCCTTCCTCGTTCCTCAAATTCCTGCATTAGTGCGTCTCTGATGCTGCAAGGAATGTTCCCGGAGGGGGTGGGTGCTTGTGGGTGGGCGCTAGTGGGTGGGGGTTAGTGGGTGGGCGCTTGTGGGTGGGCGCTAGTGGGTGAGCGAGGGCGTTAGCGGGCAGTGGCTTGCGGGTGGGTGAGTGGGTGCTTTAGTTGTTGGTTGGGTGGGTAACCAGGGCCGACCTGCCTGTCTTGGAGTTCGCGCGACCTTCCTTTGCATCCTAGCTGCCAGCCCAGGGTGAATCTAGCGTGGGTGTGGACGGGGGTTGGGCTGGAGCTCTTGGGTCCCTCCTCTCAGCCTTGTACCGGTTGATGGTTTTGGTTTGGAGCCCAAGGGGCTCTGCTATATCTACAGCTGGGATGTGTATGGAATCTGTCTCCGCCACTTCACTTTGTAGTGCATTCCAGTTGTTGGGCACTATGGTACTTGATAGTTACTTAAAATGTCCCTGGTTCAAACAGGTATATGATGTTTACCTGCGTCCCTTCGTCCGTCTATCACCCATACTCATTCTGGCCTCTTCATATATACCTTGTCTATTGCCATGATAATTTTGTGTTGATCATGTCTTACCAGGTTTTTTGTCTTCCAATGACGTGAGGCAGCTCGTATTTCTCAGCACGGGAATTACTCCGGTGTGCGTGTAGGGAGCGGTGTGTGTGTGTGTGTGTGTGTGTGTGTGTGTGTGTGTGTGTGTGTGTGTGTGTGTGTGTGTGTGTGTGTGTGTGTGTGCGCGCGCGCATACCCCATTGCATACACATAATGGGGATTGCATACACATAATGGGGACAATGGGGATTATGTGCATACACATAATCCCTATTGTCGAAATTTCCCCTACTATTGACCTTTCCTAGGATACAACCCACAAGAATTACCCGACTCCCGGGTACCTATCTTTATTACTAGTTGGTCAAGTGAAAGAAAACGGGGCGATTCGTTTCGTTCCTGCTTGGGGGATTGAACCTCGGTTGTGAGCCGAGGATGTAGACTACTCTACTGCAGGACCCATATATGTATTTCAGGCAAGTACACGTTCATCCAGATTTTGACTTTTCATGGTGTATGAGTGAGGTTAATAACCAAGTTCCTGGTCTTCCTGGTTACCACCTCGACCATAGAGTGCTGGGGGAGGGGGGAGAGTGGTTGGATGGGGGGTATGAGGGCTGGGGGGTATGAGTGTTGGGGAGGGGTATGAGGGCTGGGGAGGGGTATGAGGGCTGGGGAGGGGTATGAGGGCTGGGGAGGGGTATGAGTGTTGGGGAGGGGTATGAGGGCTAGGGGGGTATGAGGGCTGGGGAGGGGTATGAGGGCTAAGGGGGGTTATGAGGGCTGGGGAGGGGTATGAGGACTGGGGGGGTATAAGGGCTGGGGGGGGTATGAGGGCTAAGGGGGGTTATGAGGGCTGGGGGGTATGAGGGCTGGGGAGGGGTATGAGTGCTGGGAAGGGGTATGAGGGTTGGGGGGGGGATATGAGGGCTGAGGGTGAGGGATGCTCCAAGGACGATATTATGTCAAGGTGATGGTTTTGGCAAGTAGCAATCTCCTCAACAGGAAATTAAGTCATTATCTCTACATTCCAATTTTTACCCAATTATCAATTATAAAGACATGTATTTCCTCATTTTCCCCTCTTGCCCACTTGTCTTCAGTCGGCTTGTGTCATCTTCGCCACTCTGTGTTTTGTTGTCATATTCCTCCTGTATTTCTTGTCCTGTTTTTTTTTGTCCTGTGTCCATGTTTTATGTTCCTGGTATGTGTTTGTGCGTCAGCATCTTCTTTGTTAAAATATCTCCCTTTTTCTCTAGGCCTCTCTTTTTTTTTTGTCATGCTTTTGCGGGCGTCTCTATTACACATAATTTATTCCTTTCCTTCCATTCCTCTTAATCTATAATATCTACGCGGTAAGGGAATTTGTGCGTTCCGTGGCCTGACATGTGATTTTTGTGCCTTGTCCCCTCCGGTTTGATTTTTCATTGGAGTTGAACTGATGTTGTAAATCTAATCTGAAATGTATCCATTAATGGATTTTTACTCTCTTTAGATCCCTACCTTCCCCTTCACGTACATTTCAGACACCCATTTCTTCCCCTTTACGTGCATTTCAGATACCCATTTCTTCCCCTTCACGTACATTTTAGACACCCCTACCTTCCTCTTACGTGCATTTTAGACACCCATTTCTTCCCCTTACGTGCATTTCACTCATTTCTTCCCCCTCACGTACATTTCAGACACCCCTTCCTTCCCCTTACATGCATTTCAGACACCCCTTCCTTCCCCTTACGTGCATTTCAGACACCCATTTCTTCCCCTTACGTGCATTTCACTCATTTCTTCCCCCTCACGTACATTTCAGACACCCCTTCCTTCCCCTTACGTGCATTTCAGACACCCCTGTTAAGCACTCCCCTTACGTGCATTTCAGACATTCCTTTCTCCTCGACCACAGCCTCCTACCACAACATTAACTTTCTTTTCCCCTTAACTCCGTGTCATAATGCAAAGCCCCAAGCTTTCTTCTCGGTACTCGTAAAGAGTAAAACTAAAAGATTGAGAGAGGAGAAGAGCGAGTAAGAGGAGGGAGTTGAGAGACAGAATGAAGTTTATCAGTCTCCGTGGTGTAGTGGTAAGACACTCGCCTGGCGTTCCGCGAGCGCTATGTCATGGGTTCGTATCCTGGCCGGGGAGGATTTACTGGGCGCAATTCCTTAACTGTAGCCTCTGTTTAACACAACAGTAAAATGTGTACTTGGATGAAAAAACGATTCTTCGCGGCAGGGGATCGTATTCCAGGGACCATAGGATTAAGGACTTGCCCGAAACGCTACGCGTACTAGTGGCTGTACAAGAATGTAACAACTCTTGTATATATCTCAAAAAAAAAAGTGTTATGGGGTAGGCGGGTGGGGGGGAACAGCACTACTTCCGCAGTGCATGCACTCAGTCTCTGGAGTACTGTTAAGCATTCAGGTTACCAGACATATCACTCCCCACCCTCCCAAGATGAACTGGATCAGTAATCACAGGGTGCTTGAGGCGCCGCTGGTCGCCACCCCTCCTTGGAAACCGGTCCCTTGGGGGGGGGGGGTGCTGATATGTCTTATACACGCTTCACTCTGTAGCCAGGTGGTTATATGACGTGCTCAGGCAGCCAGCTGGCTATAGGACGTGCTCAGGCAGCCACCTGGCTATAGGACGTGCTCAGGCAGCCACCTGGCTATAGGACGTGCTCAGGCAGCCAGCTGGCTATAGGACGTGCTCAGGCAGCCAGCTGGCTATAGGACGTGCTCAGGCAGCCACCTGGCTATAGGACGTGCTCAGGCAGCCACCTGGCTATAGGACGTGCTCAGGCAGCCACCTGGCTATAGGACCTGCCCTGGCAGCCACCTGGGTATAGGACCTGCTCTGGCAGCCACCTGGCTGCCTTGTCAGGGCAAGGTGGCAGGGCATGGTCTCTTCTCTTCCCTTACTCTAGTTCCTTCACAGTCACGTAAAACTAAACTTTATAATTCCCCTTAACACATCGACGATGTAAACCCGCGAGATGATGCTGGGAATGTGAATAAGATGATTGAGCAGATGCAGGAAGTTGAGTGAGGTGTGCACAGGTGCACACACACACCTGCTCACTGGCCTCACATCAAAAAAATCTCTACGAAACAAAGCCTAACAAACTGAATGGCTTTAGTGTAAATAAGTGTTGAAAATATGCGCTTACAGCAAGTGAAGATCGTTGGCATTGGTTGCTTAGCCGAGTGAATGTAGGTTAGTAAGCTTATGGCGAGGCTACAAAAAAAGCGTACAAATTATACGCTTGGCAAATCGTGAGAACAAGCTGAATGTTCAGTGGTGTGAGGAGAACAACCCCCGCTGGCCCCCCCTCAACCCAGCCGGCTGGAGATTCTGGCTTTCACATGGAACCGGCCACCACCACCCCCTCGGCCGGTCAAGCCCACCCTGTAGGAATGGGCACAGGGTGCGCCCACACTGGGAACCCCTAAAGAAAAAAAGGAGCCCCATGATA